CAGTAACTAACAATGATCCGTTTAGGAATACATAAAGCAAGGTTAAACATTTAATTATTTCACTCGCAAACATTCTCTTTAACTTGTTAATTTTACTAGGTAAGCTAGCATTTTTATCAGATGTGGGTTAAGAAATTGGTATTTCATTTTCTATTTCTTTAAAATAATTCACCAAACATATGTTGCAGTGGCTAAGTAAAATCCAGCTTCAGAAAAATGTTTTAATTATTTTATTATCATACCATATTTTAGCTCCCCTGCACAATTTGCTTGTGAGCTTATGATATGGTTTGGGGTTTGTTGTCCACCAATTTTCTTCCTTTCTTCAAACACATATTTTTCTTTAAACAACCCTTCTTGAATAATTGAAATGTAAGTTCATGATATATATGACCAAGAGGAAGGTACGTCAGCTGAAATGCTGTTAAGTTTTATCATGAAAATGACCTTGACCTAGTTTCAAAGTCACAGGGGTTAGTTACCATGCTAGAAACTTTAACCTCATCAAAAGCACCATCAGTTCCAAGGTTTTTAGACTATAAAGTGTGAATCTTTTTCTGATAAATTGTATTGAGGTCATAGGTCAACTTTAAGTGCTGGCTAAGGGCTATTATAGTTTCATTAGGATGTAATGCTCTAAAGATTCCTGATATAAATGAAGTTGACCTTAATTCTTTCAAGGTCATATGTGTAAAATATGTTACAGGGGTCTAATTTCACTTTTTTCATTCAAATTTTGATTGCAAATTTCATTCTCTAAATATGAAACTTACTCACAAAACTTTTTCATCAAGCTAACATGAATGAACATCAACATATGAAACAGAGAACAGATATTGTGAAAGACAAACAATCAATGATGAAAAAATAAATTGATGATAAAGATGAAGTTATGGTGAATATCAACACTGCATTTTTTTCAAGGAAGCAAAAATGTGTATATGCACATTATTTAAGTAACCTTTGACAAATGATTGAGGTCATGACTTCAAGGGTTTCATATTGTGGACTGTGAGGCAAGAATAAATTCTAAAAGATTGTTTTAAGGTAATGAGGTCAAATTTTAAGTACATAATGAGGTCAAATTTAAAGTCAATAATGAGGTCAGATTTAAAGTCAATAATGAGGTCAAATTTAAGGTCAACAATGAGGTCAGATTTAAAGTCAATAATGAGGTCAAATTTAAAGTCAATAATGTGGTCAAATTTAAAATCAATGTCACAATGACATTCAAATGATAAGGCAATTCAGATGAAAGTCTTCAGACCCCTTTGGCCTCTTGTATGTTGTGACACAAAAATGCTCTAACAGACACTTGCTAATCAAGATTACACTTGTATACTAGGTAAGTTTTGCAGACATTTGATGTTACTTCGACCATATTTGGTAAGCTCAAGATACCTTGTAATGAACATTTTGTCTTTAATTATTATACATGTCACATCTTCTGTAAATTGTTGAGTTACATCATATTTCCAACCTAACCATTGACTGAGTTTGTACAAGCCTTGAAAAGGACCCAAAAATTAAAATTCATTAAATCAAAAATTTGTTACAAGGTAATTAATTTCTAGATGTTAAGTCTACTTACTGACCAGTGTTAGATTTTAGGGTGTTTTGTGTTTATATGGTGAGATTAGGTACATCCATGTTAAATATTAAGGATACTTGCCCACCCTACTTATTTAGGAGGGAGACTCCCGATTTGGGCCCAAATTTAGCATTTTCAACCAGTGAATTTGCTTAATTATTCCTATTTTCAAAGATCTGATGAATTCATCTGAAAGAACAGCTCAAAAGATGTCATTTAAAAGTGTTATGTTTTCTCTTTGGAGTACATACACTCATTTTATGGATGCTTTTAATTCTGAAAATGTGTAATCTCCCCCATGGAAATTTTCAAAAAGTTGGCAAGTATGATTTAGATTTTTGTATTTTGAGGATTTGTAAATGGCTGGATATTTTAGACCTTAATTTTACTTTAAAAGCTTTCAATTTCATAGTAATAGTCCTGCACAAACACTCATAAACAACCATGATTTTAGATTTGAACTCCAGATGATCATGATAGTGACTGACTCCAATAGCATCACGGAAACTTCATAAATACATGATTTTCCCTACTCAAGACCGACATATTTTTATTCTGGAATACATATTCAAGATAACTACCAACTTTGATTTCTGGTTGAAACATGCTTCAGTTCTACTGTAACAAACTTGATACTAAAAATGTAAAGAATTTTCTTTAGTTATAGAATGGTAATGTGTGTTGACCGGGGCCAGTATGGCACCATCCCTACCAGTACCTATAGGGAGTTACCCAGTGATTGATCCCCCAATAGTCAGGTAAAACAGCCACCCTTTGTCCAGAGTTAGTGTCTAGAAGCTACCTGTGGTCACTCAGGCATGTCCCCATCACATCCACTCGTCTTATGATTCAGCTCCCCCAGTCATTTGATGTTTGATTATATATATTTAGACATAATTTATCTGTAAGTGCCTTTAGGCTATTGGTAATCAACACACTTTACCAGTCTATGTACCTAGCTATAGGTTGCTAATTTCAGCCCCATGTCCTGATGCAATGATAAATGATATGCAAATTTTCACTCCTCTTTTACCCTACCCTACCTGTATACCTACCTGGACAGACAGTTGTCAGTGAACTGTGTCCCCACTGTTTGAACCCACTTTCTGCTAGATTCAGTTAGTTCCCCCACCCCTACAACCTTTGATGTCCAGAAGCTACCTGTATAGTGTGTTCACTAGACCGTGTTATTTGCCTCTGCCCTATAATTGCTGGTGACACTGGTCCTTACCTGTATCAGTTATCACCTGTTGATTGCCATCCTTTGTTTTCACCTGTCATCTGACCAGTATGTTTCAAGGTAGTGTTGATTGCAATTACCTGTGCTGGTAAATTGGATGTAAAGGTGATTAGTAGGGCAGAGACAGGAATGGTTAGTTAGAGGAATTACCTGGGGATCAGCTCTGATCAAGGTGAAAGGCCGAGGGTTGGACTCCTGGCAGGGTGATTAACGCTATATTAGTACACATGTTGATTTCTTGTTGACATGAGCAACATCTATTGACAGGGTAGTGGTTGCTTTTTTGGTGCCAAACCTATATTAATAACTTAGATTTGATGAAATAGAAATTTATTTTCAAGTTATGATTTGTGATGTAACAGCAGATAGAAAGACACTCACACCAATATTGAGGTAGCCGTTCACCAGTCATCACCTAACCCAGTTCTGTTACAGTAAAATGGCAATCATAAATTCAGATATCATTTAAATCATTATTATGAGTATTGTCATGATCAAATAAAATATCAAGGTTAGTATTTCTAAAATTTGAGTTTTACTACTTATCGCATTAGTGGCTGTATTTCCTGACAGATTTTGATGAAACTTCATTGGTAAGTTAACCTTTGATGTACCATGGGCAAGTATTTCTATGGACATAGTACATGATTGGTCAAAGGTCAAGGTCACTTACTAAAAGTAGAATCTCACCATCACTCTTCTCATCACCCCATTGGTTGTTTTCGTTTTTTATGAACTTCAAAGGTATATTTAACTGCCAAGTAAAACAGAGAAGGTCTATCATGATCATAATCGGTCAGAGGTCAAAGTTCACTTAATAAAAGATAGAATTTCACCCTCACGGTTGAAACATACTGATGAAACTTCAGAAAAATACGAACCTTTGACACATACCTCAAACAAGGTTAAATATCAATGTGATTGGTGAAAATGTAAGGTCACTTAAGCTAAAAATGGAATAAGATTTAATATTGATGTGATTGGTCGAAGGTAATGTCACTTGAACTAAAAATAGAATTAACTGTTGCAATCTTTATGTACTATCATTATAGTCAGCGATTTAGATGAAAATTCCACATGTCCTTCGACAACATGGGCATGATTGGTCAAGGGCATGATAGGTCAAGGGCATGATAGGTCAAGGGCATGATAGGTCAAGGGCATGATAGGTCAAGGGTATGATAGGTCAAGGGCGCTTTTACTTAAAATGTTTGGTTTGGTTTGTTTGTGTTTTACATCCTATTAACAGCTATGGTCATTTAAGGACCGGAGTTCCCGGAGAAAAAACCATCGACCTACGGTCAGTACCTGACAACTGCCCCACGTAGGCCTCAAACCCTCGACCCAGTGGTGGAGGGCTAGCGGTCAGCAGATTGTCAGACGCCTTAACCATTTAGCCAACGTGACCCCTCTTAAAAAATTAATTCATCATCTTCCTACTTTGTTCTGAAGGAGTGGGGGTATTTTGAGCCCAAATTGCTTACTTTCCCTAGTTATATATCTGCTATTAACCAAATATTGTAATCAAACTAAGACAACGGTAAACAGAATAAAACTGCTGCCCATCACCTAGAAATGAACAAGAAATATATGAGTCTTGACTATTTGAGATTTATCATAAATATTAACTACAAATTATGTTTGTTATGTCCCAAATTTCTCTTTCATTTCAAATCAATTCCATTAAAATCTTGATATAATGTCCCTTAATTTATTGTTTCATCAGCCATCTTCCTTACTGCCAACGTATTTAATGTCATATTTTCATTTTCTTTATAATTTCTCTGATAACCCTTGATTATTGTGAAACTCCTTTATAGTGCCAATATTTTACTGGACTGTCACTGGCAGTATAGTGAGGAATTGCTCTACTTACCAATTTGATTTATGAAGTATCCAAGGTGTACAATGGTCTGAAGAAATAACAAACTCAATATTTTTTAGATTTGATCAAATCATCTGTGAATAGGACAATACTGTGTTGGTGTAATACTGGTCTGAGTTACTATTTTGTTTCTATTACAGTGATTACAGTGACGTGTAATACTGGTCTGAGTTACTATTTTGTTTCTATTACAGTGACGTGTAATACTGGTCAGAGTTACTATTTTGTTGCTATTACAGTGGCGTGTAATACTGGTCTGAGTTACTATTTTGTTTCTATTACAGTGACGAAGCTGGTGTGACAAAGAAGGAGATAGAACTAGAACTTCCAGCAGAGAACAGCTCAACAGACAACAAACAAGAGTAAGTTATCAGATCTTATGGTAATATTAGTATTTCTGGCTTGTCAAATAACACTTTTGTTACATTTCATTGTAAACTGACCAATCAAGAGAGAAAAATATTTTGAGGATGAATACTTTTCATGTTTTTGATGTTTTCGTATAATTTTGCATATTATTTCTGTGGTATATTTATTCTTATTATCTCTGTGATATATTTTTGCATACTGTTTGTGTGGTATTTTTTTGCATATTTTGTGTGGTATATTTTTTCATATTATCTCTGGTATTTTATTGTGTATCATATCTGGTATATATTTTTGCATTTTATCTCTGTGGTATATTTTTGCATATTATCTCTAGTAAATTTTTGCATATTATCTCATATTATCTCTGGTATATTTTTGCATTTTATCTCTGTTATATCTTTGAATATTATCTCTGTGGTATTTTATTGTGTATTATATCTGATATATATTTTTGCATTTTATCTCTGTGGCATATTCACATTCATGAGAGGGCGATATTGCATATTTTCACCCCAAGGAAGCATTGTTGACCAAGGCGAAGCCGAGGTCAACAATGCTTTCCTTGGGGTGAAAATATGCAATATCGCCCTCTCATGAATGTGATTTTTATTTTATTATACCGAGTGTCATGTTTAGGTGTTTCACCACTTCACCATTTTTAAAGGTCCTTGTGTTGATTTGACATAAACCAAGACTTCATCTCAACAGTTGTCGAATGAACCAACCATGAATGTGATTTGATAACACCCTGGCACTGGGACGAACCGTGCACGCATACGTTTGGCGTATGTAACAATTTTTGGAATAACACCCTGGCACTGGGACAAACTGTGTACGCATACGCTTGGCGCATGTGATATTTTTTGGAATGTCACCCTGTCTTCTTTATCTTTGTAAAATGAGCAAGTAACATTGAAAATGTTCACATCTTTCTCAACCAATCAGATTACGAGATTTTAACAGAAGGTATAATAATTTTGCATATTATCTCTGTGGTATTTTATTGTGTATCATATCTGGTATACTTTTGCATAGTATCTCTGGTTATTTATTGTGTACTATATCTGGTATATTTTTCGCGTATTAATTCAGTGGGGTATTTTTTCTAAACATTAAATTGTCAACAGGCTTTACACTAGATAGAGAACTATATATTTTGTCCAGTGTTATCAGATATGTTTCAAAACTTTACTCAGCTAGATGGAGAAATACAAGTACATTGAACAAGTGTGAACTGAACACTTCCACAATTCTGAGCTTAATATTTTGTGAGAAATCAGTGAATGGTCAGTTTTCACAGGTTACGTCCCAGGAAGTATTGTATCCATCATGACCTAGTTGAAGGTCTGGTATGTACAGGTTTTCAGATTGAAAGTCTGGTATGTACAGGTTTTCAGATTGAAGGTCTGGTATGTACAGGTTTACAGATTGAAGGTCTGGTATTTACAGGTTTTCAGATTAAAGGTCTGGTATGTACAGGTTTTCAGATTGAAGGTCTGGTATGTACAGGTTATCAGATTGAAGGTCTGGTATGTACGGGTTTTCAGATTGAAGGTCTGGTATGTACAGGTTTTCAGATTGAAGGTCTGGAATGTACAGATTTACAGATTGAAGGTCTGGTATGTACAGGTTTACAGATTGAAGGTCTGGTATGTACAGATTTACAGATTGGTCTGGTATGTACAGGTTTTCAGATTGAAGGTCTGGTATGTACAGGTTTCCAGATTGAAGGTCTGGTATGTACAGGTTTACAGATTGAAGATCTGGTATGTACAGGTTTTCAGATTGAAGGTCTGGTATAGTGTACAGGTTTTCAGATTGAAGGTCTGGTATGTACAGGTTTTCAGATTGAAGGTCTGGTATGTACAGGTTTCCAGATTGACAGGGTTCAGACAGGTTACTGCACTGCTGTAGTCGGTTGGGTGGACATGAATGTTTTGCTTTGAAATATTAGTGCTTTGAATTATAAGAAATCTTATTTAAAGATAGAAATGTGATGATATTCTTTCTTGTCAATGATTGACATTATTTTCTACAAATTTTGATGTAGTCATAACTTGTATTCTACGGAATATTTGGTTGTTGTCTTCCTTTGATGTTTGGCATGGATTGAACTATATAACTATGTGGGGTGATTGAATCACTGCAATAAACTTCAATTTTGTTTCTGTTTCTGTTTCGCTGGTTTTTATTGTTGTGTTTGTATACATGTACACACACATTAATCAATATTCCAAAATATATTTCAAATAGAATCTGATATAATATTGCACAATTCAAATGTTTATGCATCCCTGTTTTAAGGGGGGGCTTTACTGTGTGTAAAAAATCTTTGTTACAAGCTTTATGCACATCGAGATGAAAGGAACCTTCATGCTCCTATTAACTCTTGACAGCTATGCTGGATATGTGAAGCTAGTCATTCTATGTGTATTCAGTATCTTTCATTATTTTTACTTTCCTCTCTTTCTGATGTGAAGTTGTTACTTGCCATATGTTACTAAGATGCTGGCCGAGGAATAATGCAAGCTTTATGTTCATATACGCATTAAGTGTTTTATGGCAGGCATTAAAACTAAGTCCACCATATTGGTTTGTTTACTGGTGGATTTTATGTTGTTATGCCAACAAACAAGATGTCCTTTCTGCTACATTGGAGATAGAACAGCACTCGGAACTTTCATATTTTTTTTTATTGTAAACAGCCATAACGAAAGTAAGAGTTTTTATCAGGATATATAAAGTATACAAATAACCTAGGATCTATCGGTAATTTGAAATCCATGTTTAAAAGGAACCTACATATAATGACCATTAACGGTTCAATGGAGAAAAATGAGCTGTTAGCTGAAAGGGTGTCATTATAACCCTTTCACCACTGTAGACCATAATGGACTCATCCATATCAATGCATGTTAAAGTCTACTGAAGTTATATAGGGGTGAAAGCGTTAAGTAGCATGTTATAGACAGAAGATAATTTGTTGTAATGGAAAGAGGTTTTTAAAGACATGATTCTATATTAGTCAGTATGTCCAGACAACATACAGGGGTTAGTATAGGCAGTGTGTTATTATGGGCAGTATGTCATTGTAGGCAGTGTTTCAATTATCAGACACCAGACTGAAGATTGTAATAGACAGTATGTCATTATAGGCAGTGTGTCATGTATTGGACAACAGGCTGGAGATTTTAATAGACAGTATGTCGTTATAGGCAGTGTGTCATGGGGGGGACAACAGACTGAAGGTTGTAATAGACAGTATATCATTATAGGCAGGGTGTCATGTATTAGACAACAGACTAGAGATTGTAATAGACAGTATATCATTATAGGCAGTGTGTCATGTATTGGACAACAGACTGGAGATTTTAATAGACAGTATGTCATTATAGGCAGTGTGTCATGTATTGGACAACAGACTGAAGGTTGTAATAGACAGTATGTCATTATAGGCAGTGTGTCATGTATTGGACAACAGACTGGAGATTGTAATAGACAGTATGTCATTATAGGCAGTGTGTCATCAGACAACATATTAAATGTTGTAATAGACAGTATGCCATTATAGGCAGTATGTCATTTATCAGACAGCAGACTGGAGGTTGTAATATACAGGGTTCCATTATAAACATTGTGTCATTATAGGCAGTATGTCATCAGACTATAGACTGGAGGTTGTAATAAACAGGGTACTATTATAGACATAGTGTCATTGTAGGCAGTATGTCATCAGACTATAGACTGGAGGGTGTAATAGATAGGGTACTATTATAGACATTGTTTCATTATAGGCAGTATGTCATCAGACTCTAGACTGGAGGTTGTAATAAACAGGGTTCTATTATAGATATTGTGTCATTATAGGCAGTATGTCATCAGACTCTAGACTGGAGGTTGTAATAAACAGGGTACTATTATAGACATAGTGTCATTGTAGGCAGTATGTCATCAGACTATAGACTGGAGGGTGTAATAGATAGGGTACTATTATAGACAGTGTGTCCTTATAGGCAGTATGTCATAAGACTATAGACTGGAGGTTGTAATAAATAGGGCACTATTATAGACAGTATGTCATTATAGTCAATATGTCATCAGACTATAGACTGGAGGTTGTAATAAATAGGGCACTATTATAGACAGTATGTCATTATAGGCAATATGTCATCAGACTATAGACTGCAGGTTGTAATAGATAGGGTACTATTATAGACATTGTTTCATTATAGGCAGTATGTCATCAGACTCTAGACTGGAGGTTGTAATAAACAGGGTACTATTATAGACATTGTGTCATTATAGGCAGTATGTCATCAAACTATAGACTGGAGGTTGTAATAAACAGGGTACTATTATAGACATAGTGTCATTGTAGGCAGTATGTCATCAGACTATAGACTGGACGTTGTAATAGATAGGGTACTATTATAGGCATTGTGTCATTATAGGCAGTATGTCATCAGACTATAGACTGGAGGTTGTAATAAACAGGGTTCCATTATAGATATTGTGTCATTATAGGCAGTATGTCATCAGACTATAGACTGGAGGTTGTAATAGATAGGGTACTATTATAGACAGTATGTCATTATAGGCAGGATGTCATCAGACTATAGACTGGAGGTTGTAATAAACAGGGTTCCATTATAAACAGCAGACAGGAAGGTCTTATTTAGACAGGAGGTTTCCATATAGCAGTCGTTTGGTCCAGTCATCAATCTGTGAGTACTGCGATTAACACCTTGCCTTGTAGGTATCTTCTAAACTTCTGAACCTTTCCACATCATAATGATTTATTCATCATGACCAGGTGTGTCACAAAACACTCTTAGGTCCATAACCTAAAGGTCAAGGTCAGGGTAAGAGGTAATGTTTAAAATGATAGTAATGCTTGTCCTGACCTTACTCCTACTAAACTGCTGAACTGTTTTTATGAAACTTTACAAATATGTTGATCACGAACACAAAATGTGTTGCATAGTACTTCAGA